ATTTGACTAAGTGCATTGTTTTAAGATTTAAAAAGTAAAGAATATTTTATATTTTTATGTACGTTTCTTTGCAAAGCTATATTTAATTATAATTTTCTTTAAAAGTATATTCGTATAATTGAAGAATATTTTGTATGTACCAGTACATCCACCACATATTTTATTTCACCGAGTAAGTTTTTATTATTTTATTTTTAATTGTAGCCCTTATATCGTGGCTAGCGATTCGAAATGTAATTGTGATATTAAAAATGCATTTAGAGAAGTCTACGGTTTTTATTGGCTTATCGAATAAACGATACGAATGGACCCTAGACCATCACTGACGCGCAATTGACTGATTGCCCCTGGATGTCGGCTTCTTACAGAAACACAGCTTCCCTATAGTCAAATGTCACGGCACGCCCCTGATGAATACGCTCTTCTAATTGAGTGCACGAGGTGAGAACAATAACCATTCAGAGACCAGATAATCCATTGACTATGCTTCGGGTACGAGAATCAATTTCTGTTATTTTCACTGCACCAGATGTCGCCACAACTGCTAGAGGGAGACAAAAATCCCCTATTTCAATTGTCAAGGTCAATACACAAAACGTGGCAAAAAATATTGCATCGCTTCATCGTGAAGGCGTATTCGAAGTCTTTTTAAGTAAAAATACATCTTAGTAATAGTCAAATCTGCTTTAAGTTTGATTTAAAAGATGGAAATAACAACATAAAAATTAAACACATAATTCCTTTTTCTTTTATTTTATGTATAGGAAAAAGTATTGGAATCGTGTAAAATCGAGAGAAAATATGGAGTCAACTTATGTAGTTTAATTGATACTTTATCGTTCCATCTTGACAATCTTCAAGTATTTTTTTACTAATGAATAACACGTAACAAATGCGAATTCATACATTTTTCATGGATTTTTTTAGTGATGCATCACTCATCACTAAAAATCATTTTCATCCGGTTGTCTAACTTGGCCTTAAAAACAAGGAACATTCCTTGCTTTCGAGGTTAAGAACATAGGACAAAG